GGGTTGTTAGATTTTATCTAAGTTGCCTGGTCCTCCTCCTCCTGCCTCCTCCTCCTGCCTCCTCCTGCCTCCTCCTCCTCCTCTCCTCCTCCTCGCGTTGTCCTCCTCCTCTCGTTGTCCTCCTCCTCTCGTTGTCCTCCTCGTCCTCCTGCTCAACTGCGACTCGCGATCCACAGTGTTCGCTGTCGGACCTCAACCACGACCATCCACGCCCAGTGTTCCCTGCCGGACCTCAACCACGACCATCCGCGCCCAGTGTTCCCTGCCGGACCTCAACCGCGACCATCCGCGCCCAGTGTTCCCTGCCGGACCTCAACCGCGACCATCCGCGCCCAGTGGTCCCTGCCGGACCTCAACCACGACCATCCACGCCCAGTGTTCCCTGCCGGACCTCAAACGCGAGTATCCACGCCAAGTGTTCCCTGCCGGACCTCATGTAGGAAGATATGGGACAAAGAATGTGCAGAAGAAAGTTAGAAAGAATGTCAGAAAGAATGTCAGAAGATATGCCAGAAGATATGACAGATAGAATGCCAAATAGAATGCCAGATAGAATGCCAGAAGATATGTCAGAATATATGCCAGAAGATATGCCAGATAGAATGCCAGATAATATGCCAGATAAGATAGAATGCCAGAAGATATGCCAGATAGAATGCCAGAAGATTTGCCAGATAGAATGCCAGATAGAATGCCAGAGATATGCCAGAAAATATGCCAGAAGATATGCCAGAAGATATGTCAGATAGATATGCCAGAAGATATGCCAGATAGAATGCCAGAAGATATGTGCCAGAAGATATGCCAGAGAGATGTCAGAATATATGCCAGAAGATATGCCAGATAGAATGCCAGATAGAATGCCAGAAGATATGTCAGATAGAAGAAGATGCCAGAATGCCAGATCCAGATAGAATGCCAGAAGATTTGCCCGAAGATATGCCAGATCATATGCCAGAAGATATGCCAGATAGAATGCCAAATAGAATGTCAGAAGATATGTCAGATAGAATGCCAGAAGATTTGCCAGTAAGAAAAAGTATAAATGTCATGGTGGGGATCACACGAAGTAAAGTAATTTGGATGATTTACCTTTTAAAAATGATGATTCTCCACTTACTAAACGTTAAATCACCAGATGACCAGATGGTGCTGGGATCTGCGTCGTTCCCTCCTTTTTGTTCCTCCACGCGTTGATCGTGAGCCCGTCGTTACATCAGGAGCCAGCCGAAGGCGGCGGTGACAACAGCGAAGCCGGAAGCCCAGCTTTGGGCGCTGCTGCAGAGCTGCACCAACTCCTGGGATTTTTCATGTGGATGTATCAATTTTCCCATATAGTCTATGTTTATCCAAAGTTATGTATACGATAGATCCATATATAGATTATGTTAGTATAATATCAATATATATATATATGTATATGGATATAGTCTATATAGGAAGTACCAATATCATATACATATGTGCGACCGTCAAAACTCAATTCATGTGGTGAGGTCATGGCATCGCTTCACAAGGCCCCCTATCGCTACACACAGTCCCAGCACCCTTTTCACCAACTAGGCAGAATCGCTGCTAGAAGAGGAGGATCCAGATGAGGAATCGGATTCTTATTCCCCTTGCAATGGTATCTCCAGGGAAATTCAAACTTTTACGTGATCACCAAGGCTGACGTGGACAGCTTCAGCTAGACACCAGCCGGACTCACTGCAGGTCATCTGACCTCGGAGGCTGCCCTTGGCTTGTGTTGGCTTGTCTTGGCTTGTCTTGCCTGTGCTGCCTTGTTTCCAGTGCCTTTTTTTCTTCAGCCCGCCTCCTTTGCAACCTAATACCACGCCAAAATGAATCGGCAACTTCTCCCTAACAGGTATAGACATGTGAACAAATCGCTGAGCAAATTGCGAATGCCTGTGAGCGTCTCTTTGGAACGCGGCATAACTCTAGAAGCTACTGACGTGTGCAAATAGAAAACAAGTTGTATAGTTTCAAGTGACCATGTGGGGTACTCCCTAATTTCATGGATTTCAGGTATCGCTCTGGGTATCGAGGGGTATCGCTTCGGGCATCGCTACGGGGACCAGAAAATGTGTGATCTCAGGGGTATGTTTCAAGTGACACGAAATTCTGACAAGCTCCATGTTGCAATTCTACTCCTGGACAGTGGCTTTGGAGAAGCGTCCGTGACCGCACAAGGATGCTTTTTCAACATATCTCAGCACGGTCACTATCTGAATCAACATCATCACCATCACCATCATCATCAGCATCATCACCATCATCAAGCTCATGATGCGTTATGAATTAGTTTCTTGCATACCTTATAGATCAACATACCCCAATATATCAACATTGTTTAATGTAACTATCTCATATATACTTGACGACAGGCCATCTTGCAACTACCCAGGAAGACCAGCCCACTGCGACTGCTCCAGTGTCGCACTCTGACATCAAAAGATTGGAAAGTCATGCGCCCAACAGGAAGGCTCAATCATAAACAAAGTCTAAAAAGAGGTATCGCTACACAAGGCCCCCTATCGCTACACACAGTAAATCACATGTTTTGAGTAGTGATGGCGGATCGTAATTGAAGCCTTTCATAGCGTCTTTTGATCATTGCACATATATATATGTATATATATATAATATTGGGTATAATTTATCTATTCTGGATGAACCTGTTATGAAACTTTATTAATAGATGGAGAAAATTAGAGCTATGTAATGGGGATGTAGAATCCAATGTGGTTAAACTACATCAATATGTATATATATATATATATATATCTATCTGATTGGTTGGTGGTTGAGCCACCCCTCTGAACAATGATGGAGTTCGTCAGTTGGGATGATGATATTCCCAATATTCAATAATATGGGAAAAAATAAAAATGTTCCAAACCACCAGCCAAATATATATATATATATACTACTAGATTAGCATGGTTACCATACTTGTAATGCCATGATCAATGGATTAACATGTTATATATTATGTGATATAATTAGTATGACTATGAGATAAATTGGACATAATATGGACACACCATTTTTTCATGGATTTAACATGCTTGCAATGGTATATGGTTATAATATGCTATAATGAGCTATGTGCCACCCCCGTTGCAAATGTGGTTTGATTAAAACAATATTTGATTGGGATAGTGACATTGTAGTTAGTGTTATTATGACTTTTCAGTGGCCCCAATCCTACCAGTGCCGTGTCAGCAAATGTTTGGGGGTGGATCCCTTCAATTCGAAGAGTATCAACATGTTTCAACAAGTAGCCTCTGGTAAACTGTCACATAACTATGGAAAATCACAATTTTTAATAGATAAATCAAATGTAAATGGGCCATTTTCCAGTTCGCTATGTTAATCATAACCAGAGGGTAGCTATGGAAAAATAGGGGTTTAATATGGTATTATATAGGCCTTATTTATGGATATATGATATATGGTAGGTACCTCCAACTTACCAGAGGCTATATTTTGTGAGGATATTCCCTGAAATTTAGGCCTAACATTTTTCGGCCTGAAAAAAATGGAATCGGTACCTCCAATCCATCGGTTCAACCGTGGCATGGCCATTGATACAGATCCAACGGCCCGGACGGCGACGGCCTGGACGGCCTGAAAATCATCCCAGAAGTGGTTCAGTGGTTCAGTGGTGAATAGGTTAATACACATTAAATTTAGTTAATCTATTAACATGTCAGTACAGTTTATTAATATATATATATATGTATATATTTATATATAACCTATATAATCTATATATAATCTATGAACATGGGTTGGAATTTGAGTTATCCTGTTAATTTAGTTCATTAACCATTAACTATGTGGTGCTTCAGTGGTTAATAGGTGGCCATAGGTTATCCATGGTTCATCTAAATGGGTTAGCCATGGAAACCCAACAAAAACCCACGAAAATTACAGACAAATCCGATCGCCTAACCGTTTAAGGGACCTTAGGGCGGTCCTTGCCCAGGCATTGCTTGACGTCCCATGCGCACTTCTCCAACTTGCTGCAGTTGGTTTCCACCTGCGCATCGATCTATGGGGTAACTGGAACCACGGGTGAGAAACAAAACACGGGGTCAATCTTTGGTAAATCCTCAAACAAAAATCCAACTTGCTGACTATAGTTAGTTTCCATCTGAAGCAAAAAACAAAGGAGTAAAAGTACCCATCCAAGCCTGGGCATGTCACTAAGTTTCACTAAAGCAACATGAAGATTCAAAGTTTTTTTGGGTAAGAATGGGATAGTTTCGCTAAGAAAAATGCGGGGTGATGATTCGGGAAACAAATTGGAATGGTTCCAACCCAAGCAAAAGAGGTGATTAGACAAACCACTACAAAACCAGGAAAAATCTTGCAATGTGCCAGCCAAGATGTGAACATTGCCATACAAGCGCAGGCTTTGACCAAGAATCCGACCCAATGAACCAAGCTTGGTGAATTTACGCATGAAACGATTCTGGTGGTCAGATCAACATGCTGGTTGAGCGGCAGATCTTCTTGGGTTTTATCCCCATAAATTGACATAAAACAATCACATGTTCTGCAGATACTCCATTTTTCCCAATACTCTCTGACTCTCAATGGCAAATTACGTGATTGTCTTATGCCAACAATGCAAATGTACTGAACATGGCTATTAAAAAAAAACAAAACATCATCAAGGTCAGCGCATAGCAATGGCAAATTAACATGATGATTCTAAGTAGACAACATCTTATACCTTGATGTTTATGGCTGACCAGGTGTGATTACCATTGCGGCAACTCCCGCGATTAGTGGAGTCACTTACCAATCCACTTGCGTTTTTCCTTGGCAGATTATCCAAAATTCACATCTGGTTGGTGGTGCGTTTTAACCATCCGGAAAAATATGAGTCAAATGGGATGGTTACATTCCATATATGATGGGAAAAAAATCAATGGTTCCAAACCACCAACCAGACATCCACGTGTATCATGCGACTGATGAAATTCTCAAACGCCTTATTTTTTTGCACGGGGCCAATGAGATTTTTGTTGCTCTGGTCTCATGGCACTAAGAAGAAAAGTGGTTTTGCTCCATCAATCGGGCTCGCCCAGGTGCATGGAATCCAACAGTTATGGCCATTTTCCAGTTATAACTGGTTATAAATGGGATTATACATTCTATAAATGGGGTTCTAAGTACTTATAACTGATAAAGGGCTATAACTGAAGAAATTTATGGTTCAAATCCCGAACCCCCCATGCAGCTGGTCAAACCCCAGCTGTTTTGGGGGTTCCTAAGTCATAGGGCTACGCCCAGTTCTCATCTATAGATGGTTTTTCCATGTTTTTCCATTCTAAACCAACCAGCTATTGGGGGTACCCCCATGGCTATGGAAAACCCTCATTTCTTGGCGGTGCCCATTTGGAATCAACATCCGTTCCTGCGGCGCCTCCTGGTTCACGCAGGCCTCCTCGTTGCCCGCGGTGTATTCATCATCAGCTCCGCAGGCGGCATAGGAGAAGTAGATCGGTTTCCTGAGAGTTTCGTGAAAAAAACGTCGCGGTCACTGGAACAGCCATGGAAGGCCATGGAAGGTTCGTTGCTTTAGGTTGCTTTTACCTATTCAAAATGGTGATGTTGCAGAGTTATGTGAGTTTACCTTCCAGCTGAAAACCCAGAACAATGGAAGCTTTGAACCCCCAAAATGAAATAGACAACCAGCCCTGGGATTGCTGCTGCGGACGTGTAGTACTCGCTGTACTGCATGTCGCTTTCGAACAAAAGAAAAGTGAGTTTACCACAGTTATGGCCCTTTACCAGTTATAAGTACTAACAAAACCCCATTTATAGAATGTATAATCCCATAGAAATAACGAGTTATAACTAATAGCCATGGCCATAACTGCAGAGGGTAAGATTGATTTGAAGTTGATTTGAGCTTTGTGTTTTTTTCGGTCGCAGGTTTTCCAGAAAAACACGTGATTTTTTATGGCTCAACCGGGAGATATCATGAGTTTTTCAGCTTTGGACGATGTCAATATGGACACCCAAATCATTTCGCGACCCTCAACAAGGTGGTGTCGTTGTTCTTTAGCCAAGCAGGTACACATAACTCTGGGCTAACTGTAGGATTGATATGGATTTATGACTGAATCGAACAAGTGGGTGGTTTATGAGCAACAACGTAACTTGGGGGCACCACATTGCAGAAATCCTATGGTGCTCATTCGACAAAAGGTCCACTCAAGGGACAAAAGGTCCGCCAATTTTTCTTGTGGTCAAAGACTCGGGGACCAAAATCCATCACCAACATCTTCGTAAACGGAAAACTATAAACCTGGTTGGTGGTTTCAACCCACCTGAAAAATATGAGTTCGTCAGGTGGGATGATGAAATTCCCAATATATGGAAAATGATAAAATTCATGTTTCAAACCACCAACCAGGGAATGATCCACAATAACTATCAATAATAATCCCAGCAACCCCCATTCCTATCCATTCCCTATGTTTAGCACCAGTAGTATGTAAACGGAAAATATAAACCTCTTCTTCATTTTGGGTACGGCTTTCATATCCCAGATTGTAAAATTTGGTACATTGGGTGACGCTGCAGTAAGGTTTACCAAACATTTTTTTCAGACCATATCTCGAAAAGGGTCTTCCTGGTGGCTTGTTGATCTTCAACTATAAGTGGGATAGATGGTGTTTACATATGTTTACATGATTTACATGTCTTTATTCGTCTAATCTCAAAAAATCTAGACCTACATGGCTACAATCCATCTAGGTTTGTTACTTGAATCCAAATTTCGGCTGGTTTAAAGTTTAAAGCATTATTTTCCACACTTTTGAAAAATTAAAACCCTTAAGCCATCATAACTCCCGATTTGCCCCCCAAGAAAGGTCCCTTTGTCCATCCTTAAGTTAGGTTTTTGCTGTTAAAAACCCATACCTTTCCATGGCGGATTCTCATCGTTCTCCCAGCGCCAAGCGACCCGTTGCCAACACCCTTGGGCAGGTACGCGGAGGTCTTGGGAGGCACGACCAATGAACATTCGCAAGGATCCACGTAGCACCAGGCCTGGAAAAATTGCAAAAAAGTGGCTGTGGAGTGCTCGGAGATGTTTTTTACGCATGGGAGATGGACAAAAAATGCCTCAAGACATGGTCAGTTTGGCTAGACATAACAAGGATAACTGGGGTTATTTCATGGATATATCTAGATATATCTAGATCTAGATGGGTTGGTAAACATGAGACATAGCTATATATGGGCTATATCCCTGTCAAACATCCTAGACATTCAGAATATTCTCTTTGTCCCATCTTTTTTAATGGTTGAAAAATCACTAATCACTCTGATCATGGCCAATCTTGGGACCCTGCGCCAATGCGCCAAGATCGATCCTGTTGGGGATCCATCTTGAAGGAATTGATGTTGGACGCTGCTGTTGTTGAGATTCATACAATGAGAGGCCCGCGAGTTATAAGTTGGTTTATAAGCCCCAGTAACTACGGTTATAAGTACCATAAACCATAGTTATTGGAGTTATAAACCAACTTAGCTATCCTGGGGGCCTCACATTGTATGATTCATATATTGCTCTGAGGTTCCGAAGGGTCGTGAAAATCAAGGACTGCAAGTGACTTTGTCCTGTTCTAATCAGCAAAATGGGAACAACATTGAACCTTGAATGTGAAACTGAATAATCCCATCCAAAACCATCCAAGATCATTTCTTTTCCCACAAATGTCTACCATTTAACCTCCAGTATCTTAAAACCTGCTTGGTGGTTGCGCCACCCCTCTGAAAAATGATGGAGTTCGTCAGTTGGGATGATGAAATTCCCAACTGAATGGAAAAATAATGAAAAATAAAATTAATGTTCCAAACCACCAACCAGAATAATATTGCGAGTATATTGCCAACATTCTGAACGGATGCACATCTGGCAATACACCTCCAGTATCTTAAAAATATTCACCACTGTGAAAATCCCTAGAAAATCCCTAGAATATTCCCATGGATGTTCCAGTCACCACCAAAACTATGGAAAATCACCATGCTATTAATGGGAAAACTCACTATTTCTATGGCCATTGTCAATAACTTTTTGTATGTTTACCAGTGATTATTAACCATCATTAACCATCATTAACCATCATTAACCATCATTAACCATCATTAACTATCATTAACCATCATTAACCATCATTAACCATCATTACCCATCATTAACCATCATTACCCATCATTAACCATCATTAACCATCATTAACCATCATTAACCATCATTAACCATCATTAACCATCATTACCCATCATTAACCATCATTACCCATCATTAACCATCATTACCCCATACTAAATGTTCCAGTCCAACCCCAAACCATCCATCCCCCCAGATCCATCGGTGCCTTTTTGCACCACGCCGCAGGCTTCGCTCCCTGGCAGTCCGGGTGATTCTTCTCGTCCCAGGCCGAACAGCTGGCGCCCGTCTCGGCCGGGTAGGGCACCTCCTGACCCAAACAACCTCCGGGAGACCTGGGAAACCTGGCACTGATGGGCCTTCATGGGTGATTTGGAGATGACTTTTCTGCATTTTTGTCAATGGATTGGTTTAAGGGAAAATCTTAGCCGGAAACCATCGATTTTCCCATGAAATATGGGGCTTTCCTGTAAATTTTCCCTTAAACCAATCCATTGATTTTGGGGGAGTTGGTGTAGCGATTTTTTGAGAAGTCACCAATGTGGTGATGTGATTGGTGTAGCAGATGAGCGATTTCACCTAGAATAGGCAGGCAGGCATGAGCCAATGTGGTTGTGGTATGGATCAAACGCCTGATATTTTATCCCCCAAATGAACAGCATGGACTTTAGAGTGATGGCACTTTACTCCATTTTCCCGTTATTGGGTGGTAAGCCATCCCTGGTCATGACTGTAATGAATGAAACGCAGCAACATGCTGGTACAACTGATTGGTGATCAAACGTTGCTCGGAAAACCGGATGTTCGTAGAATACATAGCGAATATACAGAAAAACAAATCTAGCAATGTCATGTTACAAGAAGATGTTTTCACTGATATTGCATGTTTATCCCATCGCAATTAGGGCTACAACTACCAAAACTATTGTAGAAATGGCTAAGGACCGGTACCATGTCAGTGACATTAATATTTGGCTCACATCAAAATTACTTTACTTCGTGTGATCCCCACCATGACATTTATACATTTTCTTACTGGCAAATCTTCTGGCATTCTATCTGACATATCTTCTGACATTCTATTTGGCATTCTATCTGGCATATCTTCTGGCATATGATCTGGCATATCTTCTGGCATATCTTCTGGCATTCTATCTGGCAAATCTTCTGCCATTCTATCTGGCATATCTTCTGGCACTCTATCTGACATATCTTCTGGCATTCAATCTGGCATTCTATCTGGCATATCTTCTGGCATATCTTCTGGCATATTTTCTTCTGGCATTCTATCTGACAAATCTTCTGGCATATCTATCTGGCATATCTTCTGGCATATTATCTGGCATTCTATCTGGCATATCTTCTGGCATATATTCTGACATATCTTCTGGCATTCTATCTGGCATTCTATTTGGCATTCTATCTGGCATATCTTCTGGCATATCTTCTGACATTCTTTCTGACATTCTTTCTAACTTTCTTCTGCACATTCTTTGTCCCATATCTTCCTACATGAGGTCCGGCAGGGAACACTTGGCATGGATACCCGCGGTTGAGGTCCGGCAGGGAACACTTGGCATGGATACTCGCAGATGAGGTCCGGCAGGGAACACTGGGCGTGGCTGGTCGTGGTTGAGGTCCGGCAGGGAACACTGGGCGTGGCTGGTCGTGGTTGAGGTCCGGCAGGGAACACTGGGCGTGGATGGTCGTGGTTGAGGTCCGGCAGAGAACACTGGATCGCGGGTCGCAGTTGGACGAGGACGACGAGGACGACGAGGACGACGAGGACGACGAGGACGACAAGGACGACAAGGATGACAAGGAGGACGAGGAGGGCGAGGAGGAGAGGAGGAGGAGGAGGAGGACGAGGCAGGAGGCAGGAGGCAGGAGGAGGCAGGAGGAGGCAGGAGGCAACTGACATAAAATCTAACAACCCTCACCTGGCAGGTGGGGAAAAAGGCACTTACCCATAGGATCCATGTATGCTATATATGGTAACATTTACCATCAATATACCCCCAATGTTAGCATATATACCATACATGGATCCTATGGGTTATGGGTTTATCTCATCACTTCATATGGAAAATCATGGGTTTTGGCAGTTTTGGGACACATTTTTTGGAGATATCGAAAGGATTATGCCCATCATTCGACCGGATTTTACTGTTCATTTACCACAGTGATGGCCATTTATTAGTTATAACTGGTTATAAGTGGGATGATACATTCTATAAATGGGGTTATAACTGGTTATAACTGGTAAAGGGCCATAACTGCACTTGTTCTTCGTCAACATAACTTTAACAAACAGTTTCTTCACGCGCCACCGGTCGCTGTCCTTGCCACCGATGCTGACGTTGGCGCTGCCCGGCGCACCATCGTAGCCGATGCAGCGGCATTTCTCATCGCCCCACTTCCTCGACGCCGACGACGCCGGGATAGGTTTTGACCGGCAACAAATGGGTGGGTGCAGTTATGGCCATTTATTAGTTATAAGTACTAACAAAACCCCATTTATAGAATGTATAATTCCATTTATAACCAGTTAGAACTGGTAAATGGCCATACCTGTGGTGGTTTTAAGCATCTTGAAAAACATGAAAGTCAGTTGGGAAGGATGACATCCCATATATTACGGAAAGTCATAAAATTCATGTTCCAAACCACCGACCAGAATGGGTGGTTTTACCAAGATCTGGTACATTTGCCAGCATAATCTATATGGAGATGATGAATCATCTAGAAATGGTGGATTTTCCATTGATTTGAAACGGTCCCACGTTCACTTACGCCGAAATTTTTAAGGTCACTTACGCCGAAAATTACCCCCACACATTTTCGACATCACTTGCGCCGAAAAACCTCTGATTACCTGTAAATTTCCACGAAAATGCGCTTCCACGAAATGCAAAAAACGATCCTCAGAGCAAGATAAACCTCTCTCTTTCATGTTCCAGCGGGGTGGGGTGGGGTGGTGGGGGTGGGGGGGGTGGGGTGGAAGAGGGGCCCTAGCGTCTACTTCAAGATCAGCTAAGGCGTCTTCCCCAATGACAGCACTTGTTTTACTCAGCCTGTTGCCGGTCTGTGCTTGTCTACAGGGTTACTCTATATACCTCTTCTTGAGCCTTGAAGGGCGCATATAAATGTGCTCAATACTCATGCATGTACCTATGTAGGTATTAGGTCGAAACAAAAAACACAGGCACAAATTCAAAAGCAATGAGTAGAGCACTACGCCTTGCCGTACCCAATTGGTATTAAGAGTATCTTCCTGACTTCTCTACACAATGGCAAATACAAAAGAAAACCGGAGTTACGCAGTGCTTCGAATTGAAAAACACGTGAAAAAGCAGCGAATGTCCTAGGACATGTCGAAAAGACCAGCGGATTCGCTAATTTTTCCAGTAAGCGACCATGTGCTTCGCGCACGGTCTCTCCACAGGCAAAATGCCTCGCTCTACCGGTGAAAGTTCGAATTGAAAAGTTCGGGTTCGCAAGATTCAGAAATTCAGGTCATACGAAAACAATTGACCAAATCACGAAATAAACGGAACGGAAATAGCGGATCTCCAAAGTTGCTCATTCAAGCAAACAATGGACTGAAATCGAAGTTGGTAAATTTTTGAAGTTCGCTCCATTCGGAGTGGTCTGCTCGCCGGATGATTCATGGAGATAAATGTATATAGTATCTCTATTTACAAGAGTCTCTATTTACATTAAATTTAAGTTCAGACACTTGTGGCATTATCTCTATCTAAAAGAGTATATGCCATCTGTGTGAAATAAGTTGAACGCACAGAAAAACTGTACACGGCTTCTCATGCTGTGTTATCTTCAATTAAAGAAGTGTACACTCACTCATCGCCACTCACTTGATCTCCATGGGCTGGACGCTGAAGATGAGGATCCACCCCACTCTGTG